TTGGGCAACCTACTTCCATAGTGATACCGCCTCAGAAACCCAAGGAGGGGTCGCCATGAGTCAGGTCTGACTCGATGGCACATAACAACAATAACAACAAATCTTTACTGAGGTAGATTGCCCAGTCTTGCCTCCTCAGAGAGGCTGGTGGGTTTGAACTGCCAACTTTCTGGTTAGCAGTCAAATGCCTTAGGCACTATGCCACCAGAATGCCTTCCTACATACTTTAGAACAGACTCAGAAGGGTGTCCTAATTATATGGAATTACAGCCAATATTTTTTCTACATAGAAAAGCCAACTTGATCACCTTTTAAAATTATGCTGGATGTACAGGGTACTTTCATAATCCATCCATCTATTGTAAATATGATCAAAGTAAATAAATATACCAATATTACCAAGAAATCCCATATAACTATCCTGATGATAGAAATGCCTCATATATTAATAACTCACACACTCACAAGGTAACACCTTGTGAAAAAAGAGAGGAAAAAAATGTCTTTGTTCCAGGAAAAGCAGAATATAAAATGTCAATAAAAATAGTTAACACCATTTGTCATAATGGTTCGGGGAAAAAGATGTACACTTTCAACTCTTTACATACAACTCATATTAACTGTGCAGCCCAGGCCTGGTCTTTATCTGTGGCCTCTAGGTATACCCAAAACTAGGCGCTGGGACTCCTCACCAGCTCCTTTGAAGATCTGAAATCCTCACCAGTCTCACCATCTGGGTCTCTTCAGAGGTCTCACAGGAGTGACCTCCCAGGAGGACGGTCTATCGATTAGCTTGAGGGTTTTTACCTAGGTTAGGAGTCCCTGAATCAGAGAGATGTATTAGAAATTTGTCCCCCACTTCGGCTGAAATGGTTAATGAGGCAGTTCACACTATAAAGACCCAGTAAAAGAGCTTTAATTCACTTGCTGTTATGGTAATGGACCATCACATAGCATTACAATATTTATGTCATCACAATCAGGCACCTTCAATCTGGCTAATATCTATTTCCTGTTGTTACTATGTAAACACTTTGGTACAAAAAGAAAAATCAGCAGACAGGGCTGATTACTCTCACAGGCTTCACAAACTGAGAGTTGGAATCTATTCTCCTGTCATTGGCTCGGTCAAATACAAAGTTGGCTCCCTGAAATTTTCTAAATTATGATAATGAGACTTTTTCACTATGGTAACTGTTTGCTTTTATCCATTTTTAATAGGGTCTTAAAAGCTAGTGTATAACTGATGTATGATGACTGTATACTAGGAAGACTTCCAGGTGGTCAGCTCCTCTCCTCAGAGAGACAGATGACCAAAGTGGGGGGTGGGGGGACCTGATGAATCCTGACAAGGCTGCCCAGTCTGGCCCATAAGGATCCACACCACACTGTATGCCCAAAGTCCTTCATTACTTTTAAAGCAGATGGACATACGGGTATATGGGAGAAAATAATACATCAGTGAGTATCTTCTCAGTAACATCACAGAAATACTAAGGATTCTGTTCAAATTAGTTATCTATAAGGAAATGTGGCATCAGGATATCTTCTAAAAGATAAAAATGTTTCAACTATAGAATTACTCTTGGACTAGGGCAGATAATCCACCATGAATTAAGATACTAATTTGTTTATATTTTTAGAAAAATATTTTGAGTTTTTAATAGAAAAACAGTAATAAAAAAAATGTAAAGATACATGTTTAGCATTTAAAAGAAAAATTACTAAGAGGTCAGAAAATATGCTAGGAATAAGAAATATTATCATTTGAGAATAAAAACATTTATTCTCTATTAAAGTGCAAAAAAAGCAAATTATTTTAGGGTTTATACCAAAGGAACACTTTAAATATGTTACCCTGATGTTAAGGCATGTAAGCCCAGCAATTTCAACAGCCTTGATCTTGATGGAACATGTCTCATAAACAGTTTATTGCAGAAGTTGTAAATTATGTAAGTCAAATATAAAATTAGTTTTAAAGCTTATAATGTCAAAAATGCCACTGTACTTATTTTCACATCTGTAGTCTTATTTCAAAAAGATATGATGGATAGGAGTAACCCTGGCCAGGAAGAATCATACAAAACAAAATATGACGAACAGACACTAAGCATTTTTTTTTCCCCTAGAGAACAGTTCAAGTATGCAAGCAGTGGAATAAACAAAGATTACCTTTTATCCCCCTAAAGTCTTAAAGAGCAGGCTTTCTTATGAGGGAGGAAAAACTACTAGCACCTTTAATAAAAAATGCTTTTGTTGAAATAAGGAACACCCTTCCCAAGCAGAAAAAGCTTTGAAAACCAGAAACCAAGGGGAGTTAATGTTTAAAAGGAAGCAGCACTTAAAAATGGTTCCCCAGCTTTCATCCTATCCATAGCTTGTAGATGAACTTCAAAATCAAATTAATGATCCACAGAGCAGAACTTTTCTTCAAATTGTTTAATGAAGACTATTGTAAGCAGAACTGTCCAAAGGTCCCATACAAAACAAAACAAACTCACTAATAGTTTCTAAAGTGAAAACTAATGCATTTCAGTAATTAACTATCCGAGAGAAGCTTTGAGGCGCTGTGACATAGGAAGACATGCTTAGGGGAGGCTGACGTAATTCTGGTTTCCATAGGTCCCTGCATCTTCAACCTTTAGTGAGAAGAATGGGGCCATCCACTTTTCAAGTTGGCCAGTGAAAACCTTATGAATAGCAGTGAAACACTGTCTATTACTGGATCTCACTACAAGTTTAAGGAAGAATTCTAAATTACTCATCAGTAATTCTCAGTCTCCAGGGTATATTATATCACCATAAAGCTAGCCCACTTCCCTTCTTCCCTCCTTCTCTCCCTCCCTTCCTTCCACTCATTAGGCTCCATCCCTCATCACGTAAGTCAGAATCCCTGAGTATGGAGACTAGGTATCAGTATTTTTAAAAGCTCCACAGAGATCCTAATGTGCAGCCAGGGCTGAGACCCACTAAGTTAACTAGAAAAGTACTGAGAAAAGTCAAGGATGATTATAGTTACTCTGTTTGAACTATAGTTGTGACAGGAAAAAATTTTAAGGGAGATAGTTTTTTGTTAATGCGGTTGCCTTTCTTCTCCTACACTTATCCTCTAGTATAAGATGCTCAATTCCCTCAAGATAATAATGGCACCCACCATTTACTGAGCACTTGTTGTTGTTAGTTGTCATGGAGTCAATTCTGACTCATGGCAACCCTATGTGTGCCCAGCAGAACTGTTTCATAGGGGTTTCCAGGCTATGAATTTCTGGGTGCAAACTGCTAGACTTGTTTTCCGAGGTGCCACTGAGTGGGTTTGAACTGTCAACCTTTTGGCTGAAAGTTGAGCACTTAACCAGATGTACCACCAAATAGTGCGGGGTATTCTACGCACACCACTGCTAATCCTCATTACCCCAAAAAATGGGTATTACATCCATTTACCTGAGATAGCTGACAAAGAGGAACTCATTTGCCCCTATCAGAAAGCCAGTAGGTAAAGAAACTGAATTAGAACCTAGACGTGTCATATTCCAAAAGGAAAAATGCATCTTTCTTTTTTCTTTTAATTTTATGCATTGATGTTCTGAAGGATAGTAAGTCATGTTTCACAGCTTAAAAGTATATATAAAATGAATCTCCCTAATAATTTTTCCCTGTCATAACTGAAGTTTAAACACACAGTAACTACAGTCTTTCTTGACTCCCATCACTTAGCTACTCCCATCACCTAGCCACCCAATTTCCCTCCAAAGAGACAATCAAAAGTTAGCAGTTTCTTGTTTATTCTCTGAACTATTTCATGCACGTGCAAGCAAATATATTTGTATAAGCATGTGTACCATCATATTATTTAGATTCCTTCCCACTCCTGTTTCAGCTATGGTAGCCTAACTCACAGGTGGGCCTGACCCAAGCCACAGTATTTTCAATTGCCTCATATGCATGTGAAAGCTGGACAATGAGTAAGGAAGACCAAAGAACAGTTGATGCCTTTGAATAAAACTGTTGGCGAAGAATCCTGAAAATATCATGGACTTCCAGAAGAATGAACAAATTTGTCTTGGTAGAAGTACAGCCAGAATGCTCCTTGGAAGCAAGAATGGCCAGACTACCTGCTTTGGTCATGTTGTCAGAAGGGACCATTCCCTGATGGAAGATATCATGCTTGGTAAAGTGGAGGGTCAGCAAAAAAGGGTAAGGTCCTCAACAAGATGGATTAACACAGTGGCTGTAACAATGGCTCAAGGATAGCAAGGATCGTAAGGATGGCACATGACCAGGCAGTGTTTTGTTCTGTTGTACATAGAGTCACTATGAGTCAGAGCCAACTCGACAGTATCTAACAACAACATTCTTCACATGGCTGTTTTCCACTCTAATGATATATCTAGGAGATAATTCATATCAGCATATAAACTTTTTTTGTACCTCATAGGATTCTGTTGTATGAATCACTTATTTAGTCAGTTCCTTATTAAAAGGCATTAGGTTGCTTCCAATTATTTTGCTGTTATAAACACTAGAATGAGTAACTTTGAGCTACATAATTTCATTGTTGTTGTTGTTGTTATGTGCCGTCGAGTCAGACCTGACTCATAGTGACCCCTCCTTGGGTTTCTGATGCGGTATCACTATAGTAGATTGCCTCATCTTCCTTCCGAGGAGTGGCTGATGTGTTTGAACCGCTAGCCTTCTGGTTAGCAGGCAAGTGCCTTAGGCACCACGCTACCAGAGCTCCCACAAAATTTCATAAGTACATATAATTATATCTGTAAAATAAATTATTAGGTATAAAAAGTCATGCCCTTACCACCATTTTATACTTTTAAGAAATAGCCAGACCCATAAAGATTTATATTTAAATCATTTTATTTTAAAATTTTACCTACAGATCCAAGATATGCCTTTCATTTTAATTAAAAAACTAAAGGTGGTTTGAGAGAATATACTCAAAGCTCAAAGTCGTCTGAGAGGCGGTTTTATGCAGGAGTAAAGTGACTTCAAAACCAGTGGCACACATACTGTGCTTGTTTCTCGTTCCCACTCAGAACATGTCTGCTCCTGAGGAGTCTGTGTCACCCTGAATTGTGCTGACGATCAGAGACTGAGAGCCGTCCTCGAGGTTGACTGAGGGCAGTGTCACTGACATCTTGGCAGGTGGTACCTGTAAGGTGAAGCGTGGTACTGGTTTACTACCTGCAAAAAAGGAGAAACTCATTAACAAATATAGCATGAGGTGTTTTGGGTTTTGTTTTTTAATTTTATGGTGGTGAAAACTTACATAACAAAACATATGTCATATCAACAACTTCTGTACCATTGATTACATTCTTCAAGTTGTGTAACCATTCTCGCCATCCTTTTCCAAACCATTCCACCACCATTAACATAACCTCAATGCCCCCCAAGCAAAAATTCCCTCCCCCCACACCACTCCTGGTAATCACTAATGATTTATGATTTCTATATTTATGTCAAGGAGCTCTGGTGGTGTAGTGCCTAAGGCAACTGACTGCTAACCAGAAGGCTGGCGGTTCAAACCCACCAGCCACTCCTTGGAAGGAAGTTTGGGGAATCTACTTCTGTAGTGATACTGCCTGGGAAACCCAAGGAGGGGTCACTATGAGTCGGGTCCGACTCAAGAGCACATAACAACAATAACAACAACAACATATTTATGTCATGTAAGTGAGATCATACAAAAGGATTGTGATTGCTGGGTCATATAGTAATTCCATGGTCAATTTTTTGAGGAACCACCAAATTGTTTTCCATACCACAATGGGTATAACATTTTATATTCCCACCAGCAATGGATAAGGGTTCCAGTTTCTCCGTAACTTTGCCAACACCTGTGCTTTTCGCTTTTTTGATCACTACCAATCTACTAGGGGTGAGGTGGTATCTCATTGTAGTTTTGATTTGCATCTCCCCTAATGGCTAAGGAAACCCTAATGGTAGAGTCCCTTGGTAGCACAAATGGTTAAGTGCTCACCAAAAGCTGAAAGGTTGGCAGTTTGAACTGACTCAGAGAATCCTCAGAAGACAGCCCTGACAATCAACTTTTGAAAGATCACAGCCACTGAAAACCCTACAGAATATAGTTCTACTCAACACAGAGTGTTGCCATGGGTTGGAATTAACTCAATGGCAACTATTAACAATGGCTAATGACATTGGGCATCTTTTTCATGTGTTTGTTCCCCATTTGAATAATCTCTTTGGTGCAATGTCTGTTCAAGTCCTCTGCCCATTTTTCAATTGGATCATTTTTTGTTGTTGTTGTTAAGTTACAGAAGTTTTATATGCATTTTGAATATTAGACCTTTATCATTTATGAGGTCCCCCCAATTGTTCTCCCAATCTGTAGGTTGCCTCTTTATTTTGTTGATAAAGTCCTTTGATGAACAAAAGTTAATTTTTATGAGGTCTCATTTATCTACTTTGTCTTTTGCTCTTTGTGCTTTTGTTGTCAAATCTGATACTGCACTGTTAAAAATTAGGTCATAAAAAATATGATTTGTATTTTTGTGCTTTAAAACTTTTCTAAATAGGAGACTTCCGGTAAGATGGTGGAATAGGCAGACAAGCAACATAGACCCTCTTCACAAATGCAGTGTAGTAAATTATTTAGTATGGCTTTTCTACCCATAAGTCATTGTAAACTCAGTGGTGGAATGAGCAACTGAGGCACTGCTGATTGTAAATGTTATCCACCTGGGTTATTTCTGTTGGGCGTGGTACAATGCAATGTTATTCTAAGCACTCTCAGGTGCTTAGAATTCTGTTGTTACGACTGGTTGGTTTGGCCACTCTGCCAAGCTCAAAAGGAGGCCTCCTAGAGGCAGAACTCTCTGACTGCTGGTTGAGGAAGATGTGCTGCTGAAAGAGATACACACTCCTGAAAGAAACATGCACTGCTGGGAAAGAGACACGAGAGACATGCATTGCTGAGTGAGACACTGAGGGACACGCACTGCTGGGAAAGAGACTGTGAGAAACTGTTGGCTGACAGATGGTGGGCTGGAAGAGAGATTGAGTGTTTTTCCTGAACTTGAATTGTAGCCTGGTGCTTCCCTAATAAATCCCATAACCTATGAGTTCTGTGTGGCCACTGCAGCAAATTATCGAACCCAGGACAGAGGTGGTAGGTGCTTTGGGAGGAACAGTTGGAGAAAGGGCTGGAGGGAGGCAGCATGTCTGGCCTCACAGGAATAGGCCTTGAGCTATTGATGGTGATTCTGTCTTCCTCTTGTGGGATTAGAGGAGGTCAGAAGATGTGGCCTCCCTGCCCTTTTTGCAACAAACAAAAGAGAAACCAATTGACAGAGATACTGAAGATAATCCTGGAGCCTTGAGCTTTGAAAGGAAGTATACAGAAGTGGATTAGGCACCAAATAGTGGAAAAACCTGAATGAAAACAATGAGTACGGGCATAGACAGAGCTGCGGACTGTTAGCTACTCTGACGGCACCAACAGCCTGAATATTTCCAAGTGGTGCTGGGACCTGAGAATTGACCTAAAAATGAGCCCTGGACACCAAGGGCTGCAGAGATGACTGCACTGGTGGCCTATGACTAGGAAGGGAAATGGCAAGAAGGGAGACAACCTGAGCTGTGGACTATCAGCTGCCTGGAGGGCTCAGCCATTTTGATTGTTCACAAGTGGTGGCCATTTTGGATATTTAAAGTGACCGAGGGTGCTGCCATTTTGAATGTTTATAAGTAGCAGCCATATTTGATATTTAAAGTGACTGAGGGCACAGTCATTTTGAATGTTTACAAGTGGTGGCCATTTGGGATATTTACAGTGACACCATTCTCATTTGGATTCCAGGGACCTAAAAATAGGCTACATTTGCCAAGGACAGCAGGGACATATGAGAGACTGACAATAGGAAAGGAGACAGATGGTGAGTTGATGAGTGTATAATTGCTGCCAACTAGCAAACAGAGGAGCACAGTACCCTGCTTATGTAGCTAACACCCAAGCAAAACAAAGAAAATGAAAATCGTGGCCAAGTCACTCCAACATAAATCACCAATTAAATATAAACACAAAAATGTCACAATGTCCCAGAGACAACAGAGCATCACAGTGCACCAAAGAAGCAAGAGTAAGCAGGAGAAACAGGGAACTAGGATACAGACCCAGAACATATCCCTGAGGAAGAAGCAGCATTGGAACTTCCTGATAAGGCATTCAAAAGAATTATATTTAGGTACCTTCAATGGATTGAGAGACAGATCAAGGAAAACACTGACAAAATTGAGGAAAACACAGAGAAAATCCTAGAACAACTCTGAAAGACAATACAAAAACAAAATGACAAAATTAATGAAAAATTAGAAATGATACAAGATCTACAGATAGAAATCCAGAAGATTAATACTAAGTTTTCAGAAATAGATAACACACTGAATGGGCAAAGGAGTAGAACTGAATCAATGGAAGACAGAATTAATGAGATTGAAGGCAAATACCTCAATACTTCTTTGGAAAGGAATCAATCAGAAAAAAAGATCAAAACAAAATGAAGAATGCCTCAGGTTCATGTGGGATACCATCAAAAGGAATAACCTACATGTAATCAGAATTACAGAACAGGAAGAGAAAAATAAAACCACTGAGAAAACTGTCCAAGATTTGTTGGAAGAGAATATTCCTGGTATGATGAAAGATGAGAATATATACATTCAAAAAGTCTAATGGACCCCAAACAGGACAGACCCCAAAAGAAAATCACCAAGACATATGTTATGTGCTGTCGGGTCATCTCTGACTCATAGTGACTCCTCCCCTTGGGTTTCCGAGGCCATATCGCTACAGAAGTAGATTGTCCAATCTTCCTTCCAAGGAGTGGCTGGTGGATTTGAACCACCAACCTTCTGGTGAGCAGTCAAGTGCCTTAGGCACTACGCCACCAGAGCTCCCCACCAAGACATATCCTCATCATCAAACTCACCAAAACCAAAGACAAAGAATCCTGAAAGCAGCACAGGAAAAACAAAAAGTTACCTACAAGGGGCAACCAATAAGACTAAGTTTGGATTTCTTGGCAGAAACCATGCAGGCAAGAAGACAAGGGATGGTGTATATGTATAACTCTGAAAGAAAAAAATTTCCAACCAAGAATTATATACCCAGCAAAACTGTTCCTCAAATATGATGCTGAAATTAGGATATTTCCAGAAAAGCAGAAATTAAAGAGAATTTGTTAAAACCAGACCAACCTGACAAGAGATGCTAAAGGGAGTCCCTTTGGACAGAGAAGCAACAATAGCAAACAACTACTGACCATTAACACACATGATGACATAACCCAGAAACCAACTCAGTTATGGAAGCATGCAAAGTAAATATGCCTGCAAGATTGTAAACAGGGAACCAGAGATCAATTGGCAAATGAGAACTACAAACAAGAGGGAAAAAAATTTTGTAGTTACAGAACTTCTAAATGGTAAGGAAGTCAAGACAAATGCAAGATAGAAAGGACTGTTCTAAACTTGGGATGAAAATTATAAATCACAGGGTAACCTCAAAGAAGAATGATAAATTTTCACATCAAAATGAAAAATAGGACCAGCACAAATATTTAGCAAAGACTAAAACAATAGCAACAAAGGAAGTGTAACACGATTCATAAACAAAACGAACTCAGCACAGAAAATTATATGGAACAAGAAAATCAGCAATATCTATTTATAGAAAAATAAAACAAGATCCGTATCTCACATCATACACAAAAACTAACTCCAGATGGATCAAAGACTTGAACGTGAAATCTAAAACTATAAAGTTCTTCAAGGAAAAAATAGGAACAAATTTAGAGGCCATGATTTATGGCATAAATAGACTGTCAAGCATAACCCAAAATGCACAAATAGTGTAAATAAGATAAACTAGATGAATGGGACCTTCTAAAAATTAAATTTTTATGTGCTTCAAAAGATTCTCCAAGAGTAAAAAGAGAACCTACAGATTGGGAAAAAATATTCGGCAACAACATATCTGGCAAGGGACTTATCTCTAAAATTTCTAGAAAACTCCAACACTTCAACAACAAAAGATTAACGATCCAATTAAAAGATAGGCAGAAGACATGAATAGACACTTCACCAAAGAGGATATTCAGGAGGCCAGCAATACATGAAGAAATGCTC